ATATAAAATACATATATATATATTAAATAAATAAATAAATATAAAAATAAATAAGTATATATATATATATATATATACTGTATATATCTGTACAAAACATTTATTTTTAATTTATTGATTATTAAAATTGATTTTTTTTTGTTGTTTTGTGATTTTTGAGATTGGCTTTTAAATATTATATTTTTAGAATTATATTATATATTATATAAATACTAACAAATTGCAATTTCAACCTAAAAACATTTTTTGATCTTGACAAAACTAAAAAACAAACAAACAAACAAAAACATAGGCCTATTTCTTGTTTTTAAAAAAGTATTCATTTATTTTTAACATTTATGAATTTGTAATGTCGAAAAATCACACTTTTAATACTCACTCATATATTCAGGTTTTCCAAGATTGTGCATGGAAAGTGTGGTTCTTACATAAAAATTGTAGAAGGAATGAATTAAAATAAGCCTTGATTTTTCACTTATTTTAAAGCAGTGAGTTTTCAACTCCAGTCCTGGGGGGCCCTGCTCTGCACATATTTAACACACCTGATGGAGATCATCAGCTCGTTAGGAAAGAGATCCATGAACTGAACTAACGAACTGATGATCTCAATCAGGTGTGTTAAATAAGGGAGACATGCAGAATGTGTGGAGCAGGGGGCCCCCAGGACTGGAATTGAGAACCACAATAATTGTAAGTATTTTTGTGGCCCCTATGACACGGTGCTTAGGCCACCAGATTAAGAATCACTGGTTTGAAGCATAAACAGGCCTATTTGTGCCATGCGTAGTGTACTAAAACTCACTGAAAATGCACTATTTAGCATTTCAATCTTTTATGAAGCAACAGTGAACTACTTACTCACTGTTCGACTCTCGTGAGCAGAAATGCTTACGCTCTCTATAGTGCATTGTGAAACAGGATTCTTGTTTGATCCCATTTGCATTGGTTCCAGATTATAATAGGAATGCCACTTGAGGATTGTTGACAAGCCGCTCTGAAGACTCGCTCCTTCTGTTACGCAAGACACAATCAGCTTAAAACTGTCTTTTCTGATGCTCTGAGGAGAAATATAAAAGAAATAACAGTTTCACCACTATGAAGAGAAGGCAGCAGGCTTTGAATGGATGAAATGTGAATCCTCACCTTGATTGTGAAACAGAAATACAGAAAATATGCATTAAAAACATGGTTTAAACAAATAAACTGTAAACTATGAGCAAGTAGACAGCATCAGGAAGTGTTTTTGTCATTATATGTCTCTGTTTGCCATTTTCAGTCTTGCCTCAGGCACGGCATTTATGAAAACATACTGTGATTCATGTTTCCATTTTAATGGGCTTTAAATGGACTTTAATGGTGGATGGCTTGCTACTGTAATTGAAATCAGAGCCAAATTGGCTGCTAACAGCCTTCACAGAGCCAAAGACCTCCCATCTATCTATCTACTATCATGCTAATGCGTGCTATTATGCCAGACTTAAATGGATTATTTTATGTAAAAGGAATATGATGAAAAAGGCTACAAACATTACACCCTTTTTTTTTTAAATGTTCTTCTTTGTTAAATAATAACATGATTTAAATTATGCTTTCCATCCTAAAAGCTTTGTACAGTAACAAAATCTTTCTTAACTGTTTACTGTCTTAAGATCACGTCTTAGCTGTTGTATCTTGGCATTAGCCAGGCATGTGATCAGCTAAGAACAAAAAAGAAGGGAAACATGCCTCACGTTCAATATGAAAATTCATTATTTTTATTTGAAAAATATTTTAATTATTTAAATGTATTATTATTGTAATATATTACTATTTCAATAATACTATTGGACTGTAAATAAAAAACTGATGATGTAATAATATAAAAATATGATATTTTTACAAATAGAAATATCATAATTCTTAATAATATAACATTTCTTATTTTTCTTATCATATTATTCATGATTATTCTTTTTTTTTTTAAATGATTCATTTTATTATTTAAATTTATTATTATTTAAATGCTAATATTATATTATTATTTTATAATATAACTATTAATATTATTCAAAAATATTTTATTTTATTATTTATGTTATTATTTTATTATTATTTTCTTAACTACTATTTATTATTATTATTGATAATCATTATTTTTATTCAAAACATTATTATTATTATATTATGTTATTATTATTATAGTGTTATTATTTGATACTATGTCATACTATTGATACTATTGCAATAATACTACATGTACTGTAAAATAAAGAGCTACGTATTTAATAATAACAATAATGATAATAATAATAATAATATAACACAATAATTATCGTTATAATAAATTATTATTATTATTATTATTAAAAAAATGTCATTCCATTATTATTAATATTTTATTCTTCTTGTTATTTTATAATAATAATAATAATTTAAAAAATATTATTTGTAATATTTAAATTATACATTAAAAAATATTTATTTTTGAGAGTATTTAATAATAATAATAATAATAATAATAATAATAATAAATAAGATGCTGTTTAGTGGTTTTGGAGCAAAACCATTAACTTCACCCAACTTATGAAAGGTAAATGTGAGCTAATTAATTAAAATAATGGTTTGTAATGAAGAGCAATGACAAAAAAGAAAGAAACAAAGTGAAGGAGCGTGAAAAAAAGTGAAACACATTTAGCGATTCCATACATCTCTGACTGAAGTGACGTCATGGCATGTGACTGTGCTGTAGCCTGAAGAGGTGCACACTGGGTAATCATGGGCGCTCTTTGATCATTTAGATGAAAAGAAAACCGAAGAAAAAAAAAATCTTTCAGGTCAATAAGAGGCGGTACAATGTGCAAGCAGGAATCCAGTCACATGACACACACACACACACACACACATACTTCACTACACAAACCGTTTGCGTGCACACACACACACACACACACACACACACACACACACTCAAATGTGCTCATGACACACACAGGTGAGGTGTGAAGGGGTTTCAGAAATGCATGATGGGACACAGAAACAGGGACCCATGACATCCAGAGGAACACAAGGGAGGACTCCCAACCTCAGGGAGCGGGGAAGGGGGTGATGAGGTCAAAGGTCAAAGGTCGAGGGCGGATGGAAGGTTGCAGACAACATGCACAAACGGAGCGGCGGTGCGCCGAGCACTGAGCATGAGCAGTAGGACCCTCTCAGCCCGGATGGAAAAGACGAAGAGACATCCTCAAGGGGGAACGTAAGGTTGGCAAGGAGGTGAACTGGAGATGCCATCAGTGTGGCCTACCTTTTCTTTTCTTTTTTTTTCTTCTGAATATCAGCTAGGCAGGGCGTGATAACTACGGAGCTCTGAGCCTCAGAACGCTGAAAATTCTGACGGACACATCTGTCAAGATGCATACAAGTGGATTAGGTTTAGAGTTCAATGACCCTTCAGTTCCTGTCCCAGTACTGACATCCACAAAAGAGCACAAGGGCAGGGCTCCCCAAATGTAAAAATCCCATTAGTTTCCTCCATAGAAAAAGAAGCATTTCACTATAAATATGATATAGATAATATATTATTATTTCATAACATATTAATATATGAATGTTTAATTATTTCATAAATATAAAGTTCAGTAAATATAACGTTTTGTGTGCGTATCAACGCGTAAACAATAATATTATATTATTTGCATCAGGAATATTTTAATAAATATAATTTTTACATATTTTAATGTACTTTGAAAATTCGAATATATAGTACTTTCTACCTCAAATCAATAGTTTACATTTAAATTTTACAGTATCAATTTGTTTACATTGTACCATAATCTGATTCAACTACATAATTTGCGATGCTTTATTATGGGATAAACAGTTCATTCTCATTTGTGGCTTTGTTTAAAAAAAAGTTTGTCGAACACTAACCGTAATCATACTATTCCGGCATACATATAATGTGCAATTTAAATGCAGATTACATCAATAATAATATATTATTATTTGTTTAATATTTAATGTTTAATAAATATCCTTTTTACATATTTTAATGTCGCAATAAACTTCAAGTATACAATGTAACATGTACAAGTAACAATGCAATTAAAATGCAAATTATATTAATATTATATTATTTTTAATCATAATGTATAGTAAATATAATGTTTACATATTTTAATGTTGCAATAAACTTCAAATATATAGAATTTTCTTATACTTATATGCTTGTAATGTACCATAATCTGATTCATTTGTAATTTGCGATGCTTTATAGAGCAAGTTGTCCATTTCCAATTAAGTTCAGTGGCTTTGTTCAGAAAAGCATACTAATCTTACTATTTCGACATGCATATAACATGCCCTGCCTATACAATAAAGCAAACAGCATGGGAAAATGTCACAAAATTTGATCAAAATGCAAAATAATCACAATATGTAGAAATGAAAAAATATCTGCCAGTGGTGTTAGAAAAATAAACTGAACTCAAAGAGAGAACTATATTATTTTTCGTATATTATCGTAGATATTTCAATATCATTTGTTCTTGTTTTAAGCATAACCTCCCCATCGTACATCTCAAGTAAATGTACCTTGATTTAAGAATGCTTAGATATTTGTACTGGAAAACAAGACAAACATATCATGTTTTGCAGTGCATGACATACAAATGATTTCCCTTACTACTTTTCACAAAAATTGCTAGTATGCAGCAGTATGCAGCATATATTGAACAGTATGCAGTAAGCTAGTATTCCATTGTGAACAAAACCACACACTTATACCTTTTTCTCATAACTTGTTTCAAAACTTTTTGTTTCAAATCAAGGTTTCATTTCAAATCGGGTGGTTTTGGAGAAAACGAATGGGAAAAATACGTCCTGAAGTGATCATTGCTGTGAGGAAATCTACAAGTGAAACTCTAATCAGTCCTGGTCCTCTGATTGGCTCTGATAAATTGTAGTTGCCACAGCTGCTTATTTCTGCTCGTCTGATTGGCTGATGGGATTGGATGTGTCTCCTGTCCAGACATGCATGCGGCTGATCATTGTCTACGTGGCATTCTCTCTCACTGTCTCTCTAGAGTGTTGGTGGTGTTGTTGAGAGGTTGCTGTGCTGGTTTGTACCTTTTCCTCCCATTTCTGGCCGGCTTCATCCCTCCGTCATCGGGGAAACTAATGAGCCCGCTCCAGTTGCCCACCTCCAATCCTTTGAGGCGGGAAAACTGTTGCCCACTAGTGAGAAAATGAGGCAGGTCGTTTAAGGTTTCATGTATTCATTCAAGGCAGCAGAAAATGTCAAACACACACAGATTTGTAAGAGGTTTTCATTGGTTTGGCTTAATCAAAGAATGTAAAAATTGGTGTATGATGTCAGGAGTGCCACTGATCATCTTCAGTGAAAAAGCTGCAATCCAGAACAGCTGCAGTTCACAAGCACAGTAAAGTGGTGCCAAAGTTTTTAGATACTTCAAAATATCTATCATTGCATTAAATGACAAAAACATCAAACCAAGTGGAATCTGCAACCAAATGCTGCACATTTTTTTCTGAGCCAGTTTGGCTGTAAATTAGTCAAGTGTGCTTGCCCTTTCTTTCCCTAAATTGAAGGTCACTTGGTTTGTCATTTTGTTATCTAATGCAAAGACACTCAAACATTTGGAAGTGCAACAAACCTTTGAAAAAAACGAGTGTTGATACACATAATGTACACATTTTAGATCTTTCCTCTGTAAAAATGTCAAAATAAATTATGAAAAACAATGAATAATTTTATCGGAAGAGGATTTCGAAAGCGATGACTACAACACTACCATTAACATTTTTAAGATTTTCTCTTCTGCTGACCAAGGATGCATTTATTCGCTCAAAAATACACATTTGTGAAATATTATTAGACTTTAAAATATCTGGTTTCTGTTTGATTACATTGTAAAATATAATTTATTCCTCCAGTTTTCAGTGTCACATGATCTTCAGAAATCATTCTAATATGCTGCTCATGTTGAACATGGTCTTATTTTGCATATTGTAAAATCATAATAAAAAGTGAATATGTAACTATGGGCCAGTGTGTGCCGTGATTGGTTAGCTGGGCCAGTGTGTGCCCTGATTGGTTAGCTGGGCCGGTGTGTGTTGTGATTGTCAGCACTCGGCGCCTGGTCGGGAAATGTCACGCCCCTTACCATAGCCGCCTGCGAGCTTCAGTGTAAATATTGTGTCAAAATCAAATCAATTTGAGCGCGATTTAAGCCCGGATGATTTAAGTTCGTCTGCCTTGGGAAAGCTAGCGTGTCTCAGACATAGTGATAACACTTGTTGCCTTCTCTAGTTCAGCTCAACCAGGTCTCGTCCCATTTGTCTGTATTTGTGACATCACAAATCCCGGAAAATATACGTTGTAGTCAACTGTATAACACAATTCTGTGTTATTTCTGAATGGATCGAGCGATTTGTGCTGTTTATCTCTTATAAATCGTGGCGGAAGCGCAGCGCTGTGCGGGAGACTGATCCCGCTCTGCTTTAACGCGCGGCTGGCGGATGCACCGGGTAGCGCCGCTTCACACTTTTGGAGTACTTGCTTTTTGCAGTTTCGTGTGGGCTGTAATTTAAAAACAGCGCCTAGTATGAGGTCTCCCTCGCTTCGGCGATCGATCCACCGAGAATTTCCCGGTGCTCCCGATGGCCAATAGCTACATCGCTGGGTATGTTCAAGTAAGCTAGATATGCCCAGATGCTGCGCAATTAGGCTTATTTAATATCATGATGAGTCTCGAGTTCAGTATTTACACTAAATCTGTGCAGATTTGGCTTACATGAACTTCCTCTAGAAATTAATTAGTAAACATAATTTACGAAAAGTAACCCGCCAAATTGGCTAGTGATTTTACAGCGTTACCCGCCACAGCTGATTTTTACCCGCATTTGGCGGGTTGGCGGGTGTTAATTTCAAACCCTGGTTGTAGTCCAAACGAGTCGTTTGTTGTAGTTTTTGAAAAGTGATTTCTGTTAAATAAAATATCTCCTTTTGAAGTGGACTTTGAGCTTTGTAACTTTGCAGATCTTTTTTATGCTCAAACAGCAACATTACAGACTAATTAAAGTTGAAAAAGTGAAAAAGCATAATAGGACCCCTTTAAAAAAACTTGCATTAGTGTATGTATTACATCAATATTTACTAATTTAACTAAACCGATGTCAGTTAGTTTCAGAATTTTATTGGAAAAAAGCATGCAAAATTGTTTCAAGACATGGACTAAACCTCAGAAAACTTTGATTTCATGTGGTCTTTTTTTTTTTAAATCTGCTGTCCTAAACCAGTTCTAGTCCCTGTAGTAGGCCTACATGCGCAGCCATTTTCTACATGTCTTTAAAAGCATCAATTTAATGTGGACATCAGCACTTCGACGAGAAACGCAAACTCAGCTGCCAATGGGAAGAGGAGAGAGAAGGTGCATATGAAGGACAGATGTGTTTCTGCAGTCCAGTAGATAATGAAGAGCTGAAGAAGTAGCTAAATGTCAATACTTTTTCTGCATGGCACAGCCACTTAGCCAATCAATATCTCCAGGACAAAGAGGAAATTTCAAGCCTGGCACAAGACTGCAGACGCCAATCCTCAATCTAGCACCAGTGTAATCAGAGCTAGGAGGAAAATGTAATAAAATAACCTTGCTGTGTTTGATTCATATGCACAAACATCTATATGCAGCAATCACATCTTGTCCTGGCCAGTTCGGTGCGATTTTATTTTTAGTTGTAACTCCGCGCCAAACTGACAGCTTTAAGACTTCTTGCAATGACATTAGAAGGCCAATTCCAGCATAAAGTGTTTTTAATAATTCTAAGTTGTAATTTCACCTGGCAGGAGCGTTTAAGAGGACGTTTTATTCAGTTCTGTGGATGCATTATTAATGCACACATTTGTCATTACGTTTTCTACATTTGTCTACATTAATTTGGAGTTTCAATGTGAAATTATGACAATATAAATATGTGATTAATCATGATTAATTACAGAAAAATGTGTGATTAACTAATTATTTTTGAATTGATTGTCAGACAGCACTCTGTTAACCTTTTATAGATCTTGGTGTTGGTAATATTAGTTCATTTTACTGCTGAATATGCATTTCAATTGAATTTCTAATTTTATAGGCCCCCCCAGAAAGAGATCGGGATGGTCCTCACCCTCTTGGCCCCCTTCAAATTTTCAGTTCGATAATCCAGCCCTCAAATGAAGCTAGTTGACTAGCCCTGTTGTAAAGTGAATACAGTTTTGATCTGAATATGTAAAGCATGGATGTTGTGGTTCCCTGCTGAAGAACTTCTAATGGTTTCCACAAAAAATACCATTAAAAACATTACTAACCACTAACTTCTAACCATTATACCATTATCTGTAGTTTGTTGTAGCCATCCCATTAGAATTTAGTGGTTTTAACATGCCACCAATAGGCAAACAATTACCAGTAGAAACCCACAGGGACCATTACAGTTTCCATTCAAACCAATACAATTCCCATTATAGACATTATAACCATTACCAATTCTATGAGGGTTGCTATTGTTTTTTCTTCAGTAGGGTTGATTTTCAAGGCATTTCTATGCAGCTGCTAAGGTGTTTTGAATATTTTCACTATATATTTTCAACTACAATACCCCTTGATATGGCTTAAAAGTTCAAAGTTGACACCCTCTCCAAGTTAGTGGGATTTGGGAGCGTTTTTATTATTTGCCAAGGTTTGAGATTTGTTCAAATCCTTAACCAGAAATATAGCCAATACCATTTGGCCATTTATCAATAGTAAATAGCATTTGCCTCGGCAAACTAAATATATATGGCAAAACCCAGATAACTTGGTCTTGGGAGATAAATGTTTCATATTGAGACTGTTGCTTGGTTTTGAGTTCATTTGATTGGATTTGAGTTCATTTTCATAATGGTTTCTTAGAAAATCTGATCTTAGTTTTTCATTCGCTGTTCTGAAACACTAAGGTGACATACATGAGATGTAGGGTTTTTTGACAGAAGAAAATCTGAGAAGCAGAAGACTCAAAAGTCTCCATTTGGTCTCCGTTTACTCTCATTGCTGGGTTTGAAGCTGCAGTTAAAGCCAAAAGCACTCACCCACCCCTACACTTGTTTCGCTCCACTTCAGCAGAATAGATACGGGGTACAGAACAGCATTCATGCAATCCGTAGCCGTCAGCCTCTGATGTCATGAATCCTGAGTGTGTGCGAGACGCAAGAGGGGGGTTCAGGTGGGAGTGTGAGAATGCTCTATGCTCTAATTCAGCATATGGGCATCTGCTGGGACGCAGGAACCATAATGCACTGCGGGGCGTTCCTTACAAGAGACGCCATTTTACATAGACAAACACACACACACACACTCTCAAACACCCTCGCAATGCTGAGCCATCTCACTCTGCTTACCTCCGTTCCCAAAAAAAAAAAAACTAAAATGATTCAAGACGCAAGAGGGGGGTTCAGGTGGGAGTGTGAGAATGCTCTATGCTCTAATTCAGCATATGGGCATCTGCTGGGACGCAGGAACCATAATGCACTGCGGGGCGTTCCTCACAAGAGACGCCATTTTACATAGACAAACACACACACACACACACTCTCAAACACCCTCGCAATGCTGAGCCATCTCACTCTGCTTACCGCCGTTCCTTCCGGGACCTATTCTCGGTAGGTATGATGTCATTTTGATGCAAGTGGCCGCAAAAAAGGCATGAAATCTGGGTCTTACGAAACACCACCATGATTTAAAAAATGCCTAATGCATTTCTAGTGCTTGAATCTAGGCTATGTGCTCATGCCAAAAAAAACAGAGGCTACATCACAGTCTTCCAGTTTATCTTCAAAGCGACGCAATTGCTTATAATAAGGTTCTGCAATATATGACTTTTTGCTGTCACACAGGTTTACGCAAGATGTATGAGCTGTTTAAAGGGCTGAAGGTAGAAAAACAAACCAAGACGTGAAAAATAAACACAGAGGAAGAAGAAAAACAGACTTAAGCATCTCGCAGCATAGACAGTCATTCAGGGGACTGTGTATGGCATGATTTAATGGAGCTCAAGTTTAAAAGAGATTTTGGAACAATATGGGTGCAATATGACTAAGATTAATTACTGAAGGCTATTTTGCTTTATTATCTACATACCCTCATAGAATATGGATTTTTTTTTCATCATGCACCATTTAATAAAATAATCACCTTACCTTTTAATATAGTTCTTGCCATAGAGGATTTGCTGAAATAAGGTGACCAGTCCAAAAGCACATATGAAAATAAAACACAGGGATCTGTTTCCCAACAGATCTCTACTAGATGTCGGATCTGAGTAGCCCATCCTTCAGAAGAGAGACCCCACGGTTTGCCCTACAGAAGACACATTGAGTCACACCCGCGCGTGTTTACCGTCTTCACCGGCTCCATAGCAGCTGCTTTTCGCCTCGGTATCGCTTTTGAGCAACCTGTCGGATATAGCGAAGCTACAGCTGCCCATTGAGGTCTATCGTCTATATGTGGACGTGTAGTAAATCTGGCATAACCTGCATCACGCGACGCTCCTGCAGAATGCGGTGACGCACTCCACTCCCTCTCATCAGCACCAATGAGGCAGCGAGGCACTGCAGATCTGCTGTCAAACCCTTCATGAAACCAAAACCAGAGAAAACGTGATGCGGCGGAAATTACACGAGGACGAATTGGGGCTTTGCAGTGATATTAGACATAGCTAAAACGCCTTTATGATAACTTGATATTAAAATAATGCCGTAAACATTAACTAGGCTAAATAAAATAATATTAACGGGTAACACTTTACAATAAGGTACTGTATTAGCCTAACTAAAATGATCCATCAATGGGCGATACGTATGGGACAGTATAGGCTATTTATTATTAACTGTTCATTATTAATGTTAACTCACATCAATTAAATAGGCTAATGTCTACCTTTCGATTTTAATAATGTTAATAAATGTTGAAATGAACTATATTAATAAATGCTTTAGAAGTATTTTTCATTGTTACTTCATGTTAACTAATATTAAATAATATGTCCTTACTGTGAAAGTGACCCTGGAGCACAAAACCAGTCATAAGGGTCAATTTTTCGAAATTGAGATTTATACATCATCTGAAAGCTGAATAAATAAGCTTTCCATTGATGTATTTGTTAGGACAATATTTGGCCGAGATACAAATATTTGAAAATCTGGAATCTGAGGGTGCAAAAAAATGTAAATATTGAAAAAATCGCCTCCAAATGAAGGTCTTAGCAATGCATATTACTAATCAAAAATTCAGTTTTGATATATTTACAGTAGGAAATTTACAAAATATCTTCATGGAACATGATCTTTACTTAATATCCTAATGATTTTTAGCATAAAAGAAAAATCAATCATTTTGACCCATACAATGTATTGTTGGCTATTGCTACAAATATACCCCAGCGACTCAACACTGCTTTTGTGCTCCAGGGTCACAAATAAAATGTCAAAATTTCCCATAATAATAATAATAATAACTATTATTATTATTATTTTATTGTTGTTGTTTTTGTTATTAAGAAGAACTATTTGAATAAAATATAATCAAAAAACTTTACATTAATTGTAAAGTAGGCTCACCATTCATTTCATTAATTTAATTTTATTCATCCATAATTTTAACTTCCAAAACCCATCATTTTACAATGTTTTTTTCCAATAAAATGGCACATCTAATACTATATACTTGTTCACAATATAGTAATATAGTATAGAAAACCCTAGAAAGTTTTAGAAAGTTTTTACTGTGCATTTTTGATTGTTATACTGTAGCATTCTTTTTCTGTTCAAATGATTTGCATGTTATAATATAATAATATTGTCTTGTTGTAGTAAATAATACGCTGTAAACATATTATGTTTTCAACCCTGTTATGCTGTAACTCATTCCCCTTTTAAATTAATGCTTTGATCTTTCACATCAAATTTAAGAGAACGCCATCATATTATAGCTATAACAAGGGTCAAAGACTTTAAATGCATGGGAAAGAATTGCTTTGCCATTCCATGATATCAGAGGCTTGTGGCAGCCTAATGAAGGTCATTTCAAATTTTTGCTTTTTTGTCTCAGGGACGACTTGAGTCCAGACGTTTTTGGCAACTCTGTAATTTATGTTTATGGTTGCAGTCGGTGGCTGTGAGCCCTAGCAAAGACCGCTTGGAAAAGACAAATCAATCAAACTTGCTGGCTTTGTTCCCACAAGAATAAACACACACACACACACACACACACAATTAAATATTACTGGACTTTCCACTGATTTCTGTTTTTATATAGGCTAAGGCTAATAAGCCTACTACACTAAATCCTCCCTCTAAACCTAACCTCTACAAATACAATGTTCAGTTAAACTAGCATACAGTTGTTTAGGATGGCCTATGTAAAAACACATTTCCTTAAAGGCAGGGTATGTGATTTTTCAAAAACACTTTAGAAAACTGATTTGGGCCGAATAGCAAAACAAACTTGTAGCCAATCAGCAGTAAGGGGCGTGTCTACTCATGATGTGGAGGAGAGAGAGTTCAGTGCACAGGACGGACATTAGCCGAGCCGAGCGACAGATAGAAAGAGATGGTGGATAAGAAACAAAAGAGGAAAACGTCTGCGGAACGATAAGGCAAGAAGTAGGACCCGTGTAAATATCGGATCAGCTTTCCAGCGCTGGAGAGAACTCAAGGAGCGGAGGCCTGCGATCGGACGCCGAGGTTGCTTTGTTTCTTCTCGATAGGTGAGTAACACCGTGTCTACAACAGCTAAAGTCTGCCTACACTGGACGCGATCAAACCACCGTTGAAAACCATTTGAAATGTGTGTCAACACGTCATAAATAGAACCCGGCAGCAGTTTTCTGTCGGGATTTGTTGCGCCGCGCAGCTCACGTACGATGTAGACACGGTGTAACATAGGTTTTGCTTTGTTTCACAGAACTAATCGTTGCCTGGGTTGCGTATGTGGGGCGGAGCTATCAAAATAGGGGCAAGACCCTTTTGGGGTAAGGGCGTGTTTGTTTTGGTGATTTCAAATATCAACATTAGCTACCAGAAATCACTTACTCTGCCTTTAAGAAGAAATGTGTATGTTAAATCTTGTTATCACAGACCTACATGCCATTTCTGTAATTAATTGAAACTTTCTGTGACCAGAACAGGGATTTTTTTTAGATTAAAAATACGTTTGATCTTTCTTACAATTAAAATAATTGGATAAGAAGGCCGCAGTGTAACAGTCGGGGGACGTGTTTAGGTGTTGCACCGAAAGCGCGCCGGTGGTGTGTTAATGGGGCGTGTTTGTTTTGGTGATTTCAAATATCAACATTAGCTACCAGAAATCACTTACCCTACCTTTAAGAAGAAATGTGTATGTTAAATCTTGTTATCACAGACCTACATGCCATTTCTGTAATTAATTGAAACTTTCTGTGACCAGAACAGGGATTTTTTTTAGATTAAAAATACGTTTTATCTTTCTTACAATTAAAATAATTGGATAAGAAGGCCGCAGTGTAACAGTCGGGGGACGTGTTTAGGTGTTGCACCGAAAGCGCGCCGGTGGTGTGTTAATGGCACACCAGCGTCTCTTCCGGTCTCTTTCGAATCAGCTCTGAGGAAAGATGGTGAGTTTCGCAGCGCCTTGCCGTCAAAATCCTCTAACATCTGATTCATGGCTTGTTTTTAAGCACTGTACCATTAAAAATATCACAAGCATATATATTTAAGGCTCAATAGCATCCATTATGTCTGTGATTCCTCGATAGCGAGAGGTTATAGATGATATTTTTATCGGTTAGCATGTCGCTTAGCCTTTCATACAGTGTTAACGAGCTCGAGAAATATACCGGTTAGCTCTAAACTATCTCCAGTGTCAAGATTCATCTTAAATACGTAGTTTTGGATGTCAATAATGTGTCTGAGACTTGTTTAAATGTGTAATGAAACTGTCAGACCAGTTTAGGTGGTTAACCTTTCTGCAAACATGATGAGCTGTGGGTCTATCAAGTTTCTTTTCTAGACAAATCAGCTCTGAGGAAAGATGGTGAGTTTCGCAGCGCCTTGCCGTCAAAATCCTCTAACATCTGATTCATGGCTTGTTTTTAAGCACTGTACCATTAAAAATATCACAAGCATATATATTTAAGGCTCAATAGCATCCATTATGTCTGTGATTCCTCGATAGCGAGAGGTTATAGATGATATTTTTATCGGTTAGCATGTCGCTTAGCCTTTCATACAGTGTTAACGAGCTCGAGAAATATACCGGTTAGCTCTAAACTATCTCCAGTGTCAAGATTCATCTTAAATACGTAGTTTTGGATGTCAATAATGTGTCTGAGACTGTTTAAATGTGTAATGAAACTGTCAGACCAGTTTAGGTGGTTA